TATCTCATTTTCAGTGATCAGGTCATGAGTATGAAGCATCCAAGCCTGAAGCAAGGCAACATCTTCCTTAATTGACCAATTTGAAATCTCATTCATTTTTCTTCTTAAAAAAAAAGATTTGGGAGGTAGAAACAAATAGAGCAGATTGTAGTAAAAACAAATATTAAGTTGTGGTGTGGAGTATGAAGAATATGGTTGGGTATTTATAGAAAAAAATGGGTATTTTTAGGGATTTATTTTTTTATTTTTTTGCATTTTGTTTTTAATTTTTTACCGCTAGAATAATCATGGCCATTGATTTTCAAAACTATTGTTGTTGGATGCCCAAGATCTCACCACATGACAGCTGCAGAAAAAGTTGCAATTTTTTTATCATTGGAAATCCAACGGTTTGCAACACGTGTGTAGACAGCCTTTAGGCTATGTTGATTGCAAGTGGGCGCGAGTCCGTCATTATGTTGACAACCACAAATTTAAGGAGTGCAAGCCCCGGCTTCAATTGTAAGGGCGGCCCAATAAGCTGTTGTCGTTGCTCCAATAGCCCTTTATTTTTTGCACCGATGGACCACCTTTATTGGAGCTAAGGGCAATTCAATCAAATTGCTCTATCAATTGGCCTACAAGTGAACTTTCTCTAATGGGAGCCATATGGTCTAGGCAAATTCATAATCTTGCCCTCAAAATTGAAAAAACAACTTTAAACCCAACATAATTTGCCTAGTCAAATTTAAGCCTAGGCACCTTGCAAAGCCAAACTAACCCAATAAAAAATCTTGGGCAGCATGGGACCCACTTAAAATTTGAAACTCTAGCCTCTATCCATTCACCACTAGAACCAAAGAAATATTGGCAGACTATCATCATTTCTTAGGGGCTAGGTTTTGCTTCTAGCCTCCAGTTCTTGCCCAAGACATTAGATATGTTTTAATTAAGCAAAGCATGTCAAACAACTTACTAAAATTTCTGGAAAAAACAAAAAAAAACCTTATCCAAGTAAAACCCAATTGGAATCAACAACAAGTACATTCTATAAAAATCCCAAAGGTTCTTCAAACCAAAGCAATTCATTCGTCAAAGAAGCCCAAAGTTAGCCAAGCGATGCGCAACTCCATTTGCTTTCCTATGGACAAAAAAAAAAAATCATCGTCGCATTAAAACTATATAAAAAAACACCTTGGAATCCTCAATAAATCCCTCCCATAAGTGAATAATCAGGTTCTTCCTTTTGAGTGACTCTCAATACTTCAAATGCATACCTTTCAAGCTGCACTTGAGTGTACCTGGCTGAGCTATGAAGCTCATGTGAGTGACAATACTACAACATATGTGATACAAAAGTCAATGGATCTCATTTATAAACGTCTCACCATCCCTTTCATATATAAAGGAATCCTTACTCACAAATCTTGATTGAATCCACACAACATTCAATCATCTCTTTCATATATGAGATAATAACAGCCTGGTAAGGTAGCACTTATCACAAAGTTCCGTATTCTAAATGCACTCATGGTAGAACTGATACACAAGATAGGAAGTAGAATTCCATACCCACTTCATGGAATTCATAGGACGAACGGTTTCAGGTGCACTTAATGGAACTAAACATAAGGTGGGATTTAGACCCACTCAATGACATCCATGCATAGAGTATTATTATGATTGGCATTAACAATCTGAATAGATCAGTACATACTTTGTCTTATTTTCAAAAAGTGACTGGTCTCGAGTTATTGGTGTGAATGACACCAAGACAAGTATGTATGTGCTCAATAGAGAGTGAGCCAACTGGATGTGATTAACTAGGATTTCACATACTCATGTCATATGATAATTCACTAGTTAGGATAATGCAAAGTAGTCATTTGACATGATGCATCATAGTTGTCTTGTGGTTAGGTCGTTAATCTTTTAATATGTTAAAGGCATTCCATCAGAGGGTGTCCACGACATAGTTAAGGTTAAGCTACTTAATTATGTAGGCATGCGAATGCACAACAAGGGATACTAACCTTCAAATCGTTAAGGGAGAATATTTTATCATATGATTAAGAATCTCTAGCCATAGCACATGAATGAGATTTAAGAAGTACGTACCAAATCACATTCAAGGTATCATGCAGAGAAGAGAATCACATTGAATAGTACACAATAATAAACTTTCAACCAAACAATGTGATCAAGAGTATTGATATAGAGAAAGACCTTATTTCATTGTAATCCTAAACTGAATACTGAATAGATTGTTCAACAAATTCTACTTAGTTTGGGTAGCCATGACATATTGTTAGGAGTCACTCATGGTTTGTGGAAGCCCTGAAGATTAACAATCATTAAAGAGAGAATTAAAAGTTAGTTTCAATTCACAATCGATTGTTATGAGTTACAATCATGCACTACCTCACTAATTGGAACATAATGAATCATACACCGTGTTAGGATGAATGAAATTAGATGGATATTAAACATTTTAACCGTGGATGGTCAAAATTAATTAATTAGTTAGTTAGTCATACGAACAAGTGCGTATTGGGCTTTAAGTTAGCTTCGGGTTTTGTGGCCTAACTAGGTTTTGACATTGAAGACCCATTGAGTTTAAGTTGTATGAGAACTAAAACAAAATAGGCAATTAGCCCACTAATTATGAAAGGCTGACCATACTTGAGGAATTGCCTTAGTTTCAAGTAATCACTCACTTATGAGTGGGGACAAAAAGTAAGTTATAGGTAAAGGCTTATTAGGGTTTTCTTTGGAGGCAAAGGAGAAACAATTGTCTCTCTATTTCTCTCTAAGGAGGCCGGCCTTTCGGGGAAACTTTTACTAGCACCAAAACTTCTCCTAAGTCATCTATCTTGCCTTCACACCACATTCTTTGTGTGGAGACTTAGAGACTTGCAATTTTGGAAGCTTTAGAGAAACCTTTCATCAAACTCTCATGGAGACAACATGAAGGGCCTCCACTTGCATGATAACCTTGTGAACGCAAGAATGAGCTTCAAGGGTATGAAAGCTCAAATTTCTTCTTTTATAAAGGGTCTTGATTCACCAACATTGGGCCTTGAATTTCATGAGGTTTAAAATTATTTTTGAGCTCATGCCATCACTAATTCTTAATTTCATGCATGTATTGCTTAGATGTTGGGTGTAGTCAAATTAGGATTTGATAGGATTTTAATAGATTTTAAAATCTAAGTGTAGTCAGTTATAATTCTAAAAGAAGATTTTAAAAGATTTTGAAATCATGGTGTAGTCAAGTTATGATTTGAGAGGATTTTAAAAGATACATCCAAATCCAGCGGTAGTCGTTTAGGATTTTAAAAAGTCTACACATTCTAGGTGCAGTGAGAATACCAAAGATTTGCTAGAATTTTAATGAGTGAGCAAGGTTCTAAAAGACGCTAGGCGCTAGTTGAGCGGTAAGCTGAGACAACGGCTAGGCGGGGCCGAGGCAGTTAGGTGGGGCCTAGGCGAACTAGGCGGATTTAAGTAAATCTATTATATTCATGTAAATAAGTGTCTGTTTATACTTAAAATATATATAATTTTATCATAACTACAAAAAAGGAATGATGAAGTGTTGGAATATAATGAAAACATTGGGAACAAGTATATAATGTGTGTTCATTTAAGTATTCAACAAGTCTTTTACAATTTATTGAAAAAATAAAATGCAAAATGAAAAGTTAGTTATTTTATGTCTAAGTGAGTTACAACCTAGGCGGGTGCCTATACGGGTCTTGGCGGGCTAGACGGGTGCCTTAACAGGTTTAGGTACCTGTTCTTAGTTTTCAAACGCCTAGACATTAATCGGGGTGGGGATTTTTAGAACAGTGTGAGTGAGGGATTTTGATGGATTTGAGGATAGGTGGTATAAATACCAAATGCTTTCAACATTCCAACCTTCACCCCCTAGGATTTCTTTTCAAGACCAAAGAATTCTCTCTACATAAGAAGAACAGTCTTTCGTCACCCTCATCCCTAACAACCCACCCCCTGACATTCTGTCATGTACAATTGTAAAATCTCAATTGCAATTCTGTCATATACAATTCCAATCCAACATATTATTTGGACGGGACAAAACCTAGAATATAAAGAGTAGCAGCCTACATAGAATGGATGGGACAAAACCCAGAACATAGACAACATATTATTTGGCTTGCCTTTTGTGTGTGTGTGAATTGTATTAGATTTTAAAACTCAATTGTGGTGTTGCTTTCGATTTATACAAAAGATTTGAATGGCTTCGATTCCTAATTTTAATTTTGTGGGTGGATATTATTATTTTTCAAGTTTAATTTTATGATTGATTGGGTTTGAAGTGGCTGGTTGCAGGTGATTGTGAGTCAATGATCTTTGTTTTGGTTAATTGATTTTTTTAAATATAATTCAAATGAGAAAGGCAAAGACATATTCGATTGGTTTGTATTTCTATATCAATATATGTATGTTTATCTTATGTTTAATTTTTTTTATTTATTTTTTTAAGATTGTGCACTGGGAAAGAAATTCATTTGATGTTTTAGAAGTCAACTAAAAAATCCTAAGAAATCCATGAAAGAAGTCTGCACAAATTCATAGAAATCTAAAATGGAAATTCATCTAAATCTATCAAAACCCATGTAGAATTGTACAGTCTATTAAAATTCTTTAAAATGTGTCGCTTAAAAAAAGTTTGTTAAAATCTTCCGAAAATCAAATTGACTACACCCTAGGTTAAACAAAAAAAATTCTTCAAAAATGATTTTTATGAGAAAGTAAAAGTGGATAGCAAATGACCATCACTTTTATGGGAAAGCAAATATGGAATTTATTTTATTTTATTTCTCTCTTAATAACGATAGGTTAAAACAAAAAAGCATTTCTCCAAAAAAAAAAAAAAACAAAAAAACAAAAAACAAAAAACAAAAAAGCAAACGCGGCAGAGCAGTAAAACACAATACAAGACCAAGACTTTAAAAGCAGGAAGAAGAGATGAACTCTCTGGGAAGGAAACAAAACCCTTCTTTCTTTTCCTTTTTTATTTCCTGATAAAAATCAACAATTCCATCATCAACCAATCCAACGGTCCAAAACTCCCGACGACCAAAAACCCCAAGGAGAGAGGAAATTCTAGACCCTTCCGAAACACGGACCCAATCCCAACCGTCCACTGCCTCTGTGTCTAATAGTGACCTGATCTCTCTATAAATACCCAAACGGGCTGCTCATCTCCCCTAGCTGCCCTTGACTCTTTAGGTATCGTCCTCCTCGCATCTCGTAATACCATACGGAGAGAGGAACAAGATTCGTGATTTCGATTCGATTTGGCGATTAAGGTTATTTCTTCCGATCGATTTAGTCGGCCAAGATGTTTGGGAGGGCGCCGAAGAAGAGCGATAACACTCGGTACTATGAGATTCTGGGAGTCTCGAAGAGTGCTTCTCCCGACGATTTGAAGAAGGCGTACAAGAAGGCCGCCATAAAAAACCACCCTGACAAGGGTGGAGATCCTGAGAAAGTAAGTGCCCGCCTCTCCTTTTTTGTTTTTCTCTGATTTCTCGACCTGGTTTCCGTATTTGGATTTGGGGAACTGGGTTGTTGTGGATTCTGATGGTTCTGTTGTTATCATGCTTGTAATTCTGCCAAGCCCTTTCCTTTTTGTTGAATTTGACTGGATGTGGTATTTTCGTAAATTATTGAGTGAATGAATTCATGGGTTGACCTGTGAATTGGGTTTTTTATTTGGGATTTTGTCGATAGAATTTCGGATATATGATAAAGGGTTGGTTTGGATCTGTAGTTGTAGAGGGCTAATGATGTTTTCGTATATTATGCGCAGTTTAAAGAGTTGGCTCAGGCTTATGAGGTTTTGAGTGACCCTGAGAAGCGTGAAATCTATGATCAGTATGGTGAGGATGCACTCAAGGAGGGAATGGGTGGCGGCGGCGGTGGAGGCCACGACCCGTTTGACATCTTCTCATCCTTCTTTGGGGGAAGCCCTTTTGGAGGTAAGAATCGTGTGATTGGTTCATGGTTTCCACTTGGGGTTTCTTACTTGTGTTGAACAATGGATGTGAATTGATTTTGTACTTGTTTGTATGAGCAGGTGGTGGTAGTAGCCGAGGACGAAGACAGAGACGTGGAGAAGATGTTGTCCACGCACTGAAGGTTTCATTGGAGGACCTCTATCTTGGGACCTCGAAGAAACTATCTTTGTCGCGAAATGTGTTATGCTCCAAGTGTAATGGGTGGGTAGTAGTGAATTTGCATGTTAAACTTCTTGCTATGATAAAGTATAGAACGTTGTGGTTTGAAATAGTGATGCTTGCGTGGGATGTGAATGTGTTGTCTCCAAAATTGCAGGAAGGGATCAAAATCTGGGGCTTCATTGAAGTGTTCTGGCTGTCAAGGAAGTGGTATGAAGGTCTCAATCAGGCATCTTGGCCCGTCAATGATTCAACAGATGCAACATGCTTGCAATGAGTGTAAGGGTACTGGAGAGACCATTAGTGACAGAGACCGCTGCACTCAGTGCAAAGGGGAGAAGGTTGTTCAAGAGAAGAAGGTTCTGGAAGTCCATGTGGAGAAGGGTATGCAGAATGGCCAGAAGATCACATTCCCTGGTGAAGCAGATGAAGCTGTATGTTCCGTGTCCTCATTAATTGTGATTTTTTATTAGCATTAGTAGTAGCGGTAGGAGGTTTGATCTGTGTTTGGAAATGTGGGATTGATTGATTGGTTTTCTACGTCTTCTTTGTCATGCAGCCGGAGACAGTCACTGGTGATATAGTGTTTGTCATTCAGCAAAAAGAACATCCGAAGTTCAAGAGAAAGGGCGAGGACCTTTTCGTTGAGCACACACTGTCTCTTACTGAGGCTCTATGTGGCTTCCAGTTCGTGCTGACCCATTTAGATGGCAGGCAGCTGCTTATCAAATCAAACCCTGGCGAAGTTGTCAAGCCTGGTAAGTAAAGCTAATGTATAAGCTCACAGCATGTGATGTATTGGTGAGGGAATCCTCGGAATGTTATTAATCTTGTGATTTGTTTTGATGAAGCAGATTCGTTCAAGGCGATCAATGATGAGGGTATGCCCATGTACCAGAGGCCATTCATGAAGGGTAAGCTGTACATCCACTTCAATGTGGAATTCCCAGAGTCTCTGAGCCCTGAGCAGGTCAAGGCATTGGAAGCTGCTCTTCCAGGCAAGCCATCGGCATCTCAGCTCACTGATATGGAGGTGGATGAGTGTGAGGAGACGACTCTGCATGATGTGAACATGGAGGAGGAGATGAGGAGGAAGCAGCAGCAGGCTCAGCAAGAGGCCTATGATGAGGATGACGATATGCCTGGTGGTGCTCAGAGGGTGCAGTGCGCCCAGCAGTGATATGATTGATATGCTAGTTTTCAACTTGTACTAGTTTTTCGCGTACTTGCAGAAGCGTAACAACAGAATGACAAGGTGGGGGGATGAGAGGAGGGAAGGGCTATGGCACGGCGGTCTAGAATTTTGGAACACTTAATTAAATGTTATGTGATGATTTGAACATCCTGTTATTCTTCAACTTTCTTTTTATAAATGACCATCATATCATTCTTATCTAATCAAGATATTCTCTTCTCTTTTCTTTTTGTTTTTATACCGCAACATTTTTTAGATCTTTGAGAGCAACGAGTTTATCGTCATTTGGCGTTCCTATTTAACAAATACACGTCACCGAAATCGAATAATAATGACGGGTTGAATTTGTTTCATGAACCCAATGCCTTCGCTTTATGTACGGTTATGTTTTGTTTGGCGTCATGTAGTAGTATTAGGCTAGCTGTCAGGGGCAGCAGCCAGTATTAACGTTGGGGAAAGTGATTGTGCTGGAAGTCTGAATCTGATTTATTTGAGGCAGTATCTTTCTTCTGCATTTGTATGCGTTTGGGGACAATTGCAGCATATAAAAGCACTTTCAGGATAACGAGAAAATTAGCTTTTTCAAGTAACCTGCTAGTTTCTAAGACCATTTCTCTTTGTGAATTTTCTTCTTCTGAACAGAATATTGGGTCGTCATGGATCAGAAATTTTCTTAGTCACCAATCTATGATTACCTATCCTTCGATTTAATATCAATGGTGGATGATAAATGGACTTGCGTTCAATGTTTTAATCTCAATATTTGATGTCAAATGATGATCATCGTCAAGAAAACGAGACTCGGACATGAATAGATTTTCATTAATTTATTTATATATTTCAAAACAAATTATATTTTCATTCATCCACAAGGCAGCAGGCAGAAATATTCAGCCTGGAGAGCAAACTGAACCAAATGTTTGGAATGGGGAGTACAAACTCTCCAAGAAACAATCAAAGATTGGTTTCATAAAATATGAAACTTTTCGTATGAAATGATAATAATTCAGTACAATACTAGTCGTTAAATTTCAATCTTTTTATGGAGATACCGAAGTAGTTGCTGAATAGAACTACAGAAGCGTGGTGTGAAAATTTTGTTGACACACAAATTAAACCTTATTGATGACAATTGTAGTATTTAAGCAAGTAGGGATCGTTCTAGACCGGGGATTAACTAGGGATGCTAATCAACATAAATAAGACTCAAAAACACTAAACTAGACTATTTAGACTCAAAACTATCTCAAAACACTCAAAACAGCAAGAAACAATAAAAAAGACTCAATTCTAAACCTAATAAGTGATTTGGACGAAAATAGAACTTAAAAGACTCAAAAGACCAAAAGAAAACAAGTTTTGACTCTAAAAACAAGACTTAAAAGCAAGGGGTTTGGTTTTGACGGAATTGAACTTTTAAAACATAAACTTTGTAAACAAACTTAAAGACTTACGAAATTGATGAAATAGAATGGTGAAAGGCTAGTTAGAGGGTTCCTTCTCCACACATATGCATACGACTCGATTTCTAGTTACTCTTTCAACAAACCATGAATGACAATGCCCCAAATTAACTAGATTGCACCAATTAATTCTCAGATTTCCCTAGATTCATTGAATTGAATGGAATACGCATTACAACCAAATTATTCTTATCAAGGACCCTAACTATGGAATACGCATGATACAGACACATATCAAAGATCATTAAGTTCAATGGAAATCATAAGCATTGACGAGGCATTCATAACGATGGAATACGCATGTTACTCTTGCCAAGGATTTACTTAACACAATCGTGACTAGCGACTTTTACTACTTATGAATATAAGTTAATAACGATTAGGTGAAATTCCCTTATACTCTAGCATCAAATTCATGCATGCAAACTAAGTGTCGACCCTCAATCAACATACATAAACATGTTATCAATCAAATAGATAAGTAAACCACATTCACGATTTATGAAATCATAACTGGAGGAAATCAAGTCATATAAAACATATGATCATGGCTTTGAATTCCCCTCTAACTATAAAGAAATTAGTTCCTCATGTTTACAAATAAACAAAGATAAATAAATTTAAACATTGACATAAAGATAGAAAACACCTAGAAACGCTTCAACAATCCAAGCTCCTTGAATGGCATGCACGGCTCCAAGAGTCTCCTTCCTTCTCTTTTGCAAACTCACGGCACAAGAGGGATGTTTGGGTGAATGGTGTAGTGAAAATATGGTAGAGGGTGGTGAATGATTTATGGGGCAAGGGTTGGTATTTATAGGCTGGAATTCATGCCAAAATCCCTAAGGATTTGGATAGGTTTCTGAAATTAAAATGGGATAAGGATTGTGAAACCAAAACCCAAGTGGAATGAGTTAAAACAATAAAAAACCAAAGGGGATTAGGCTAATAAGGTGCAGCACTAATTCCTGCAAGGAAAGGGATACATTTGGCCTAATTCAAGAGGGAAAAGGATTGAGATTTCAGTTCCTAAAGCTTCTAGAAAAGGGAAAAAAGGCCAGATTTTTAGGTGCTTCTAGAAAAGATGTTTTAGCACCAATTTAGGGGTTCTAGAAGGATAAGGGTTCTAGAATCTGAAATATATAGTTTAAATACATAATTATCCCTTAGAAATAGCTGGAATCAAGGCACAAATTGATTTGGATAAGATAGGATAAGATAAGGTTAGGTTAGGCAAGGATAAGATAAGATAAGGTTGGATAAGGTTTTGGATAATGTTCCTTCTTTTGTGCTAATTTCTTATCTTCCTTGACTTGGATGTATTTCTTCACTCTTTTCAACTCATTCCTAGCCTCTTGAACTTCAAATTCGTCCATCCATCTTTCTCCATTCATAAGCTATCCATTTGGTGCCCAAAACTGCCTCAAAATGCTCCTAATTGCACTTTCTTGCCAACTTTGTCATATAGACCTACAAACACACGAAAATAGCTTAAAACACTATAATAAACACAAACAAACTATGAAAATGCAAGAAAACAAGCTAACTAAGTCGCATAAATATGCTCCTATCAAAGCGTGACTCTTGGATCCATTGAACTAGATCCCCTGCCCCGTTTTCTGATGATCGACCTGTGATAAACTCCAGGATCCGAACCCCAAGCTGGAACATAATGTTTCCGCATTCCTGACCCATGCAATCTGCACAAAAGGGGAAGGAAATGAGGACTGCATTAAGTATTTACGAGGGAGAGGGTGAAGAGAGTCAACCTTTCGAGCATGAGGTAAGAGGTACTGTGACGTAACATTCACCAGAACTTTGAACCCTGACGTCTGAAAGCTGTGATCAGAAGGGAAGATCATATGAAGTTGACAAAGATGATAGTAGTAGCCTTCTTACACCTTTTGGATCCAAATGAAACGGAGCCCTCACCTTTGCGTTAAAGTGTTCATCTAGCGTGATGCTACTTGGGTTAATGGAGACGAGATACCTTGGAGGTTCATTGAAGAGAAGCAAGTACTCCTGCACTGCAATTCTAGAACGCTGTGAGCTAAACTCCTGTGGCTGGCTATGCACATCGAGGAACTTCCAACAAGTAAATATAAGAGTAATTCATGTACATAATCGACACAAAAGAACCAAAGAACTTTACAAATTTCTTGGATTCGTTGAGGTATAAGAACCAGTGGATTAGTATCCTGCTTTAGACGTGGAAAATGATACTGCTACAATCTTATGGTGACTTGATGCATGAAATCAAATTATGCAGCAAATTTTTGTTGCGTTAAGATGAAAAATACCAATGCAGCCACCCCACCAACGACTATTTGTAGCCGTGTCCTCCAATTCAAGTGAGTTCTAAGATATACAACTTATTCATACATTGCAACAGGTAATTTCGACAAACAGCAAAGATATACAAGTTATTCAAGATAGAATTCTAGGTTTTGGTAAAATATTGTTCTTATATTATTCTTCTCTCATAGAGGAATGTATAAACTTGTACAATCTCCTACAAACTAGGAAACAAGTATCCCAAATATACAAGGATACCAATTACATAATTATATACCCAAAATATCTCTACATTCCTTATTCCCCAGGTTGACTCACACAACATTCCCCTCAAGTTGGTGCATAGATATCGCCTAGATCCAACTTGTCCAATGAGTCCTGAAACACTCTTGCTGACACTGCATGAGTTAACACGTCGGCCAACTGGTCCTCAGATCTTACTTGTGGAATCTCAACTAACTTGACATCCAACTTTTCTTTAATAAAATGTCTATCCACCTCAACATGTTTTGTACGATCATGCTGAACCGGATTATTAGCTATTTCTCGCGTAGCCTGATTATCACAATACAATAGCATAGCTCCACGTGGCTTGAACCCAATCTCTATAAGAAGAATCCTCAGCCATAATAACTCACAAATCCCATGTGCCATACCACGATATTCGGCCTTTGCTGTTGACCTAGCAACCACATTCTGTTTCTTGCTCCTTTAAGTCACAAGATTTCTTGCAATAAATGTAAAGTGCCCTGATGTAGATCGTCTATCAATAATATTCCCAGCCCAATCAACATCAATGTACCTTTTGACCTCCAAATGCACATGTTTTCTGAAAATCAATCATTTTCCAGGTGCTTATTTCAAATAACTCAATATTCGCATTACTGCAGCCATGTGATCCTCACTAAGAGAGTGCATAAGTTGACTTACTACAATAACAACATATGCAATATATGGCCTTATGAGACAAGTAAATCAACCGTCCTACTAACCTCTGGTATCTTTCCCTGTTTGCTGGGAACTGGTTCGGGTATATCGCCAAATGATGATTTTGAACTATAGGTGTTTCTGCCGGTTTACATGCCAACATCTATGTCTTAGACAAAAGATCCATAACATACTTTCGCTGAAATAGATAAATACCATCACAGGAATGAGCAACTTCAATTCCCAAGAAGTACTTCAAACCTCCTAAATATTTCATCTCAAACTCCGTAGAGAGATACACCTGTAATCTCTCAATCTCTTATGTATCATCACCTGTGACTACCATACCATCCACATATATTATCAACAAGGTAACCTTTTCTCCCCTGCATTTGATAAACAAAGTGTGATCTGCATTTCCTTGTCGGTAACCATACTTCTTCATCGCATAAGTGAATCTTCCAAATTAGGCCTTCGGCGATTGTTTGAGTCCATAAAGAGCCTTTCACAGTCTACACACCT